TACGTAGGTGGTAACGAACCATTGGAAGACTATTATGTGGTGATAAAATGCGCAATGCATGATGCACTCACACATCGTTCCGCTCTCGTCCACCTGGTGCGCGTTTCCATTGCGACACGCATACGAAACCTTTTCGTCATCCACTCATACTCATTCAAATTGACCATACAGGCTTCCGTCAAGCTTATACATACGCGCGGCCTTTCACCCGTGACACACGGGTTGCGGTCGTTCGACATGTTACGCAGTCACTATGGTTACTCGAAATTCAATTTGCCTTTTCGATAGTAGCTACGCATGCACGCGACACATCGTTGAATTTTTTCTGTCTCGTTTTTTCTTTTTTTTTATCTATTTATTTTGTGTGTGTATGTGTATGTATGTTTTCATGTATGATTCATTTAATTGCAGATGTAATGGTCTTATTGATTTTTTTGGTAATTCTGCGATTTCTCTGAGATTTTAGAGCAGGAATAGATGTGATCGTATTATTTCCAATGAACGAGGGAAAGGTGATATAAAGGATACATTATTGATCGAGAGGGTTTAATGTCTTGATAATGAGAATAGATAAACATAGGGGATTATTATTACAAAAGATAAAGTTGAGTTTAATTGTGAATAGAGGATTATAACGATAAAAAGTTTATGAGATTATAATTGGAATTTTTGGTTGTTTTATAAAAATTTAAAAATTGTATAAATTTAAATTATGATATTGTTTTAAATTTTTTTATAACAAGTGGATATGATAATTCTTATGTTAAGTTTTATTAATATATGAAATGTTATACAGAAAGTTTCATTTAAATCAATATTTGAAAATGGACATTGAAAAATATTTCAGATAAAAATTGAATGATTTTAAAAAATATATAATTTGATATCTTTTTCTTTCATTTTTTAAAATTTCGTTTTTGTTTGAAATATTTTTGAATATCATTAATATTTTTCTATATATTGAAGTTATTTTTTTAACATCCTGTACATTTTTAATACAAAATAAAGTGCCATTTTTCGATAATTTTATTCTGTTGTTCCATTTACTCTGAAATATAATTGTATGTTACTTATGCATCGAGAAGGAAGAATTATTAGACAAATAGATTTTTGCAAATTATTCAATCTTTTATTCTCTATTCGATATTTTCTAATCATAGAAAAAAATATTATATTCCATCATGAATTTACATTTGTAATGTATATAAAATAATAAATATAAAATAATAAAATTTACCGAAATTTTTATTAAAATTTTGATTTATTAATACTTTTAATTATTTTAATTATTAATATATTATTAATTCATTGTAAATTTTAAATAATTATAAATTATAAATTATTCTTCTAATCAAAAAATAAATTTGAAATTATAAAAATCGTAATTTCTAATCGATTGCTATATTGTTTTCGATATAGGAAAAAAAGAACATTTTTGTTATATACTTGTATATACATAAACTTGTTATCTATATATATATATATATATATATATATATATATAGATCATATATATCTATATTGAATAAATATCAATAATTTTAAGATATTTTCTGATGCACGGCAAGTTTCTCTTCACGAATTCGTTAGCGAGAATTGATTCTTCGCGAAGGGATGAAATATTAAAAAAATCGTAACGAATGGTTTCATGGATATTCTTGGTATGTGTGAGTTCGATATAGACGGCGATTGCGTGCGTTTAAAGCTGCTCGGTCGAAGCGTGTTCCTGGAATTGAATGGAATAGGGTACGTTGTAAGGTAGGTTCTTAGGTTTGTAAAATGACTGCAAGGTTTGCGGGGAACATCGAAGGGGAGGAAGTTCTAGTATTGGGGTAAGGGATTCGTAAAGAGGATTAGAGAAATACTACAATCTATTTCGTATGTTTTCACCTTTTTATATAATGAAAAAAGAAGATAATAAATATAAGACTGAACGTGAAAAAAATTGTAAATGCTGTAATAAAATGTATTGCAAATTTTCATATTTTCTTTATTAATTAATGAGACAAATAAATGAATAAAATAAAAGTATAATTTGATGTACTTATATATAAATTATATAACACTATTTAATTATTTATTAGTTATTTTTATTATTGCTAAATTTATCTTAATGTTTAATAATTGAATTGTGAAAGATAAAAATTATTATATGTATATTTGAAATATCCTATATACAACAAAGTTAGAGATTTTGAAAATAAGAAAAAATCAAATAAAAAACTATTTTGAAAAAAATCTTTGAAATCGTGTCATCTAGATATAATAAAAAAAAAAGTTGCTCAATTGAATAATAATAAACATAATTAAAGTATTTGTATTATACGTTTACTATTCTATTTCTTGTAATATATCAAATATATTCTCTTAAAAAATTATTTCAAGAAGACGATTATTATAAAAAAAGAAAATAATTAAAAGTTGAATTTTATCATTCGTAAAATTCGTTTCGACAATTGTCAGCGATAGGTCAAAAAGAACAATAATCCTCGTAGCGTGAATTTTTTTAAGATCACGCGTTCACGACCACGGCATTACCGCGTTCTAAATTATATGCGAAGCGTTCTCAGCCGCGCCAAACAAGCACGCGACAATAAAAACGTCACATCATACAAACGTCGGTTTTGCTAAAGGTTTCCACCCTCTTGTTCTCTCTCACTCGTCCTGTCCTCCATCTCTCTTTTTTTTAATTCATTAAGTTTAGAGTCGAGTGATGTAGATGTCAAACGTTTCACTCTGCGGTTTTATACGCGCGTTTATATCGCTTTATCCATGCAGTCGCCATTACGCTCCCCTTCATTTCATGTTTTTATGAAAGAACAGTATATACTTCACCCTTCTGATTCGAGAAATGACGCTGCTCGACACGAGAAATATGAATCGAAGTAAAAAACTCATTTTTGATTTTGCTACTTCTATGAAAATCCGCGATGAAGCGTTCTTGAAACTTTAACGACAATCATCGAAGCCCTAGTTGGTTCAATCTTTCCTAGTTGCCTTTCAAAGAGGTAGCGCTAAATCCACCAAGTCCCGAAGTTTTTCAAGCTTTAATAGCAGGCTTTAAAGTCTTTGGGACTTTTTCAAAGTCTTTCCGCTCCACTTTCCCCATTTTAGATAATATTTTATTTACCGAAAATCGTACAGTGAATTCGAGACAGACGAATTTCATATTCTTTCATGAAAGGATAAAATAGTTGCATATCATATGTTCTTTGTTTTCTTCTCTATATACATTCTCTTTTTAGTTGACAATTTTTTACGCGATTTCACGCGAAATAACATGATTTAAAAAAATAATCATATTTTCAACAAAAATAATATGATATATTTTGATTTAACAATATTTTGAATGGCACTCAATTCTAGTTTTTTTAAAATTTTTAGTTTTAAAATTTTATGAGAATAATATATTTGCATTAGAATTATTACTTTCTAAAATGGATGGAAAATATGTTAAATATTATATGAGAAATAAAAAAATCGCGATTAGCACATATATTATTTGTAGTTATGTAATTGACTAACAAAAAAAAACTAAAAAATTTTGTGATATTTGTTTCACATCGAAAAATATCGATAGTGATTTGACATTGTCGAATTTTCTATATACATTATTGTCATGTAAACAAAATATAAGTACTAATGACGAATAAAATTTAACTTATATTTGAATCTTTTTGAATTTCTGTCTTATTAATTATATATTATTTTCTTTATATATCTATATTGTATATTTTAAATAAGTACTTAAAATAAAAAATAATTCACAAATACAGTTTTATTTAATAATTTTCATAATTTTATTTTAAATTTTATTTATTTTAAATTTTATATATTTATAAAATTTTACTATAATTTTCATACATTGTTTAAAATAATTTTTTTCTTTAAAAATTTAATGCTCATATTGGATTTCATATTTCATGGAACCAATCTTTCAACTCTTATTCAATAATTTTCATTAATTTTTATCATTAATTTTATATATTGTTTTGTTTGAAAATAATTTATAACGCATAATCTTTAATAGATTGTTAAACGCTTTGGGAAAACGCCACAGGTGGCGCGGTTGCATTTCCTGTCCCATAACGCGGTCTCATCGACGTCATCCTCTTTTTATATTATCGAATAGACTATTTACGTGCTAATAATGTGCCAGCCGTTTCATAATCATCCCTTGTCGCGGCACACGTGCTGTCAGAAGATCCACGCCTCTTTTGGTCGTGCGCTATTTTATTCCTGATTCACCACTTGAAAGCGTTTTATACATATTGCATGCGGAATTTTATTTTATATATTATATATATATATTTTTTATTTGGCGGTTTTAGTAATTTTGAAAGAATACACATATGGATAAAACAAATATTGTTAAAAAAATTATTAATACTGAAAATGATGGAATTAAAATTATTTATTTTTTAAATTAATAAAAGTTCTTTTAACTAAATAAAGAGATATTTATTTTTATCATATCACTTGAATTTATGTATATAACTTTAAATATATGTTATAGATAGTTATAATAAAATTTTGTTTTGCTATTTAATTATAAATTATATTTATTTAAAAATTTTATATAATTTTTTTTAGTAAAAAATAATTAATATTTGAAATTTATATTTCAAAATAGTATTTCTATTTGTCTTGTTAAAATAATCTAATTGATTTTGAATCATTTAGAAAAATTTAAATCAAATAAGACAGATAATTAGAAATACACAATTTTAATAATAATCATTAACAAATAATCATATAAGATATAAACTTATCTAATTTTATTCTTAATTGACATTCTAAATGTCATATGACAATTCTAATAATTAATTTTCTCAAAAATAATTGAATAGTTTTCACATATCGTCCAAATCACAGAGCGTTTATATCTCTTTATTATCGGAAATTCATATATTAAAAATAAAAAAAAAAAAAAAGAAGAAAAAATAGAAATTTTTCAAACGCAGATAAATTACTAACGCATGAATTTCGTTTAATTCCAGGAGAGAAGCCGTACAAGTGCAGTTGGGAGGGTTGCGAGTGGCGATTCGCGCGTTCCGATGAGTTAACACGCCACTACCGCAAGCACACTGGCGCGAAGCCGTTCAAGTGTCGGCATTGCGACCGATGCTTCTCTCGCAGCGATCACCTAGCCCTCCATATGAAGAGACACGTGTAATCGATCGTCACCGCGGACGGTCCTCAACAAACGGAACAGTCCAGGACCGGCAGGCGAACCTCCTTCCTTCTCGAAGATTCTCGAGGTCGTCATGCAAACACACGACCCCCTCGTGATCGCGTTTCTTCCATACACACCTGACGATCCACATCGAATTCGATCATCGACAACGTAGCCATCACCAAGTTGGCCCCATCATGTCGGAGTAATATGATCGCAAGATATAGAGATATATACATTTATATCTATATATCTATATATCCCTTATGGATTTAATATTAATAAAAGGGGAATCGATGATGGGCGAGATGATCGATGAAGAATGGCCATTTCTGTTAGTGGTCGTTCTTTGGAAATAGAAAAGTCGATCAATAAATAAACAAAACGAATCGATACTATCCATCGTTGTAAAGGACGAATGTAAGACAATTCGTAGATTGATGGTTGCAATTGGAAATTGCAATTGAAATAAAGAAAACGTATATCTTTCTTCTTTCTCTCTTCGAGGCAATATCTGAAAAAGTTAACGAGACTGAAAGAATATCAGATGACACTTTCTATAAAGATACATGCTGGCAATGGAAACAATAAATGGTGATTAGATGCGGATCAGACTGGTAATTAGGAATCTCTTGGACAAACACAGGATAACAAATTTTGTCCGAGATGTTAATCACTGCCAATTCATTAAATTCTAAGATCAGTGCATATAATATCGGAGATAACCGATGAATGCTGCCTCGAAACTGGGAAAGAAATCGAATGAAAAAAATCGTCCAACAATGATGGCGTATACGACTCTCACGTGAATTCTTACAAGTCGTCTGCCTCCTGTAAAACGGTCGAATTTTCGGAAAACTGATTCGAAAAGAAAAGACAGAGCAAGAAGAAAAAATAAAGAATTAACGAAAACAAAAAAAAAAAGAAAAAGATAAAAGAAATCGAAGGAAACAAAGAAAAAAAAATGTGAATTTATACTTATTGATTCGAGAAACACCGATTTGGCAATGTTTCAAAGGCGTCGATTCGAAAGTTCGAGAAAACCCGGTTCGAGAGGACAATAATATTCTGTCTATCGGTGCCAAAACGTTATTTCCTTTTCTCTTTCATTTTCCTTTCTTTCTATTCTTTCTTATGAACATTTATCACGTACACTAATCTTCTCCCTCCCCTCTAGTATCCCTGAAAATGGGGGCCACAAGAGAAAAAGCTGATTCTAATGGGTAAGAAAAGTACGCGACGCTTTTGAGCCTCGAATCCTACGAGCAATAATCGAAAATATATTCGCGAGCCGGTAGAACGTCACATGTACGTGTGTATGTGCCTATTGTAAAGAGTGGCGGACGAGGGCACACGACGAGGACGAGCCGATGTAATTGAATACGTGATTTCGGCCAGTTTCGACGGAGGCAAACTTTACCCGTGCCGCGGCGCTAATCCCGAATTTACAGTGCGAATTATATCGCGAGGCCGCCTCCATTCGACTCACACGATTCGCCGCCCTTTTGCCCTTTTCCATCGTAACATCGTTTCCCATCATTTTCCGCGAATAAACAAGAAAGGATTCCTTTTCAATACCGAGAATTCGACCGTTTTACCGATCGATAAATAATTCACGAATGATTTTTAAGGAAGAAAGAGAAAACCGCTTATATTATACACAAAAAGAAAGAAAAAAAAAAAGAAAAAAAAGAACCTTTGGTAGGAACAAGGCATCGAGAATTATCTTTTTTCCTTAAAAAATAATTCGACCGAACACGGGGCTTCTTTCGTAGTAACGCGCGTAATATGGTTTTTAATGAAAATAAGGGGAATAAGAATAATAAAAAATAAATAAATAAGATATATACGGGAATCTGACTTTGTACTTTTGTACGATTGCTTTCTAGGTAACGTTCTCATCTTTATTTCACGCGTGATTGCGCGCCGCAGGAGCGGGAGTGGCGAGATGTCCCGACGTGGCGGGCAAGATTCTATGTCGGAGGCTCAACAGAAATAAATAATATATATATTTTTTAATATTCTCGTCTTACTTACCAAAACAATATATTATTATACATAAGGGATTATACAAAGTATAAAACGGGCAACATTCCGCACAAAGCTCTAGAACCGTTTCCACGCGTCGACCCGTCGAGCACGCCACTCCCTCTTATACGCGCGCAAAACCATGGACGGCAGACGACCACGAATCGTTCACGACTATTATTATACATGAGTGTGTGAGTGTGTGTGCCTCTTGGGAACGCAACGAACTTCCGGTCGACGTGCATCGTTGTCTCGCTAATCATCGATTATCCAACCGAGGACAAGCCTCGTTCGAAATCGAAATCACGTAGGGAAATAACAATAAAGGGATAAATAAAATAAAGGAAAGAAGAAATAAGAGAAATAAAGAAACAAAAAAAAAGGAGAAGAGAAAATTAGCGGAATATATTAAATGAAAATGAAGTGTCAACAAGGAAAGATAACGAGAGAAAGAGAGAGATAATGATTATCTGGATAATATATGTTGTATCCATGGACTGAAACGAATTGAAGGATCGTAGATCGCTCATCGAACGAATGGTGAACAAAATAATAGAGTAGTAAAAACAGAGAAAATAAAAAAAAGATAAATAGAATAATAACGTAATATTAATTACGATTAAATTACAAAAGGATAAGAGAAACAGAACAAATGGAAGAAAGGAGTTTTACTGTTTAAGAAGACTAATCTTTACCTGAGGGCGCGGGAACGGCCTGCAAGAACACCCGAGTTGCGGGCGAAACACGAAGATTTAAAGAATAAGATGGGAAAAAAGGAAGAAAGAAAAAGAAAAAAAAAGAAACTAAATTTTAAATGTTCAGTGGCCAAATAAATTAACTGATAACGCACGTAGAACATAAAGATAAACCGTACCTACCAAGTAAGCCTGACTGACATGAAAGCGTCGACGCGGTTTGCGCGCGTGTAGCTGCGTGTGAATGTGTGCGTGTTAATTCAATGTCTGTGGCACCTGTAATTTCTTCTTTTTCTCTATATAATATTTCTTTTTATCTCTTTTATTTGCGTAAATTTTGCATAAGTGCAGATTGAAGTAAGTATGGATGATTGTATTCTTTTTCCCCGCGAGATAAAAATGCGTTCCAAAAATAGAAAAATTGATTTTTAAGAATTATAATAAAACGAGTTAAGATGGGTTAAGGGTTTTGAAAAGAATATACATACATAAATAGATGGAAAGGAAGAGAAAAAGAAAGAGAGAGAGAGAGAGAGAGAGAGAGAGAGAGAGAGAGAGAGATAGAAAAAGAAAGAAAGAGAAAAAGATAGCGAATCTAGCACCGGGGAGAAAGCAAAAGAAAAAGAGAAAAAGTATGCGTGTGAGAGAGAGAGAGGCAAATAGTTTGAGAGAAAGAGAGAGAGAGAGAGAGAGAGAGAGAAAGGGAGAGAGGGAGAAAACAAGAAAGAGAGAGAAAGAGAGAGAAAGAGAGAGAAAGCGAAAGCAGAACATTAAGTTTATATTGTGCAATTTTTGTCAGTGTTTCATTATTTGTTACCATGTTCACGGATAATTATAAATAAAGTAAATATATATATGCAGCATTTACAAGGACTTAGGATAACGAAGATAAACGAGAAGCCAGATGTCTTTTTGATAGCCATATACTGCGAGGTATCGTGCGGCGCCCCAAAAAACAAAGGACGCCCCCGACCGCTCTTTTTTCTCGACAAACTTTTTTCTTTTCTTTGTAAATGTAGGCGAAAATGATAAGAACGAGGATACGAGAAAAAAAAAAACGGTGCTCGTTACACGGTTTCAACGACACTCTTGTCTCGTTAAAACGACAAGGAATTGTCGTTGCGCGAATCTCCGGCGACCAAAAACGAGCCCATGTTTCGCTCGATTGTCCCGTTCCTCGAGAAATCGGCAAATCTTGGAGCTATATATTTACGCGATCTTTTTCTCTCTTCGTGACTGCTTTCGTATATTTTCGTGCGATCCGAGTGAACCGATCGTCGAGGAGCCGGTCGACGACGAAATTGATCATGAAGAGAAGAGGAGGGGGAAATAAGAAATGTGGAGGAAGGATAGGAACAATCGAGTTGATGAAATGATCGATCCTCGCAATCGCGATAAGCGTTTCGCGCGTTTCCATCCCGGCGACCAACGAAACACTGTAGATATAATACACGTACATTAAATACTAGATACGTAAAAGCGAACGATCGTGCGCGAGAAGAAAGAAAGAGGGTGCAAAGTATCCGCGTTGTTTTATTAAATTTGAGTGAAAAAAAGGAGTTGAAAGAAGAGTCGAGAGATATCGAAATATCTGTTGACTTGAACTGTTAAAGACGAACAATGCATGAGTGTAATTAAAAGAATGAGAAAAAAGAAAATATGAACGAGATAAAGATACGAGGCAGGAAAAGTGGATATTGTAAGAGAGGAAGAAAAAAAAACTAATAAATGGTAGTTAGAAGTTTAGATAGATAGATGGATAGCTAGATTGTTAGATAGACATCTTAGATAGGCAGATAAATAGATCGACGAAGAGAGGAAAGGTGAAGATGAGAAAGAAAGAATGAAGGATCGTGGAATGACTGGGGATGGGGGATTTAAAAGAGTTATTATATATAAATAAAAAAAAGTTTATAAATATAGATAGGTGGATATACATAGATAGAAATGTAAGTACCTAAGAGAAACTCTAAGGAATCTTCTAGAAGATGCTGTAACATTGTACGAGATATGATAAGTGAATATAAGTGTTTTATGATACTCGCGTACAATAAGATCGAGATGAACAGTGGGGAATATAGTGGTATAAGAGCATAAGGAGATCATGAAACAGAAGGAATACTATGAGTATGAACGTAAAGCGTATATGAGTATTATCAAGCAGTTCACGAGGAATAGAGAGAAGAATGAGGGAAGAAACACAGACAAACGCGGCACGATTTGTAATTGTATTAATTGTGTCTAAGATATTTTCGGTCATGTATAATAACTCTGTGTATTGCAGGACTATTAAGTGAAAAGAAGATGATTGTGAGTGACAAGAAGCTAGTGTGAATGAATGAATGCTGAAGGAAAAATTGAATGAAAAAAAGAGATTGATGAGAAATAAACGGAATCAAAGAATGTAAAATGCGAAAATGAAACAACGCGAATAAAAATGAATGAAGTCTGTTTTGAATAAGAAATGGATAGAAGTTTGAAGATAGTTCGTTTGTTTAAATTCGATCAACGAAAAATCTAATATCTTGAAAGAGGAGAAGCATTAAAAAATGGGGCATATGAAAAAAGGTGCACTAAAAAAATGAACTGATTAAAAAATTAACATTATTTTTAGGAAATTACATCTTTAGAAGAGATTTAAATAAATAGCGAAGAGATAAGATGGTTAGGTTAAGTGCTAAGGATACTTTGGTTTCGCACGGTGAAACTCTTCTGTGTTAGTATACGAATGAGAGAGAGAGAGAGAGAGAGAGAGAGAGAGAGAGAGAGAGAGAGAGAGAAGGAAAGAAAGAAAAAAGGAGCAAACTCGAGAGGCAAAAGTTGATCGAGAAAAAGAAGGAGAGAAAGTATCAAAGGAAAAAAAATATAAAATGAAAATATAATGGAGGAAAGGAAGAAATAATAGCGAGAGTAGAAAACATTCACAAGAAGGTAAGAAGAAGAAATATTTATATTTTTAAAAAAGTGACCTTTGGCATTTAAAGACTTGTAAAAATCGTGCAACGAGTTAAGTAAAACAAATAACAATATCAAAGAAAACAAATAAGAAAAATATCATCAGAAGATACAGTATATTTAAGGGACATTTGTCCTTCTTCGTGTCTCTAATTTCATTTTACATATATGCACACATAGAAATACATATATATATATATATATATATATATACACGTGAATACTTTTATGAATATCAAACATAAATACACTTATAATAATATATTTCGAGAAACAACCAAACAGGCAATTGGATAAGCATTTATTGTCCTTCGTATATCGCCAGGAAAGGAACAAAACACGACACGATTCTTTCGAAACTATTGATAGCACACAGGTGCATAGAGATAAAAGAAAAATGAAAAAAGACAAATTACACATGCAAATACCAGAAAACACAAACATACTTTCAAGAAAATATCTTAAAGAGGAAGGAATAGTGTTGTCTATAATGCATTTGTTAAATATATGTTATATAAATATACATTGGCATCTTTATCTCGGATATGATAAAGAAAGAGATAGAAAAAGGCACAGGAAAAGGAATAACAGCAACACGAAGAAGAAACCATCTCAATGGAAAAGAAAGAAATTCGATTACAACGCATAGGATGTAGCGGAAAAACGTGAATAAGAGTGAATTGGATAAAGAAAGGTAAATAATGCATTCCGTTAGAAATTCATTTTTCACGAGGTATGCGAGAACAAACATTCAAATCGTAGCAATGTCATTCTGCTATGGGGCCTAATCTAACACTAAACCGAAACGATTTCGGCCATAACTCGATTTTCTGGTACTCGTCGCGAGGACGAATCGCTTCTCGTCAATTAGAATGAGATTCTTTTGGAACAATTCGATGGATTTAATTCTGGTAAGTTTAATGGGAATAAACGAAGATAAGGAATACAAAGAAACAGATTGAAACTTGAGATTGTTCCTCGAGGGAGTGAAGAAATCGTGTCTCGAGCCAGTAAGATCGAGATCAAAAATAAAAAAATGATTCAACAATCATCGCATACTACATTATTATCATCCAACACTATTCATGGTAGGATATAATAGTATTTCTAGGAATTTTATACAAGCATGCGACCGCGCTCTATGTTTTCAACCGCGATTAACTGTCGATCATTGACGTTTCTTCTCGTACATAAAAAAAAAACGAACACGATGTTTTAAGTGTATTAATTATTACATTATATGCAATGAAGAGTGAACGGTGGGCGCGTGTGTGTGACCGCGTGTTTTACGCATGAAATTAACCACAGAGCGATATGATTGCGTGAGAGAAAGAAAGAGAGAGAGAGAGAGAGAGAGAGAGAGAGAGAGAGAGAGAGAGAGAGAGAAAGAGAATTGAAATTGAATAAAAGGAAGATTGAACGATTGTAATTTTTTTCTGAAATTCTGTACCTCGTTGTGTATACATCTCTAATTGTATAATTGTGAATATTAACATATTATGATAATGTGATTTATTACGTGTGATCCTGCGCGCAAAAAGACGTGGAGAACCTTTAAGCGAGTATTTTGTATTACGATAAAGCGAAATTAAAGATATAAAAATGAAAAAAAAAAATGCGAGACTGATTTGTATGCTACAGATGCAGAGAAAACAAGAATTGAAAGAAAGAGAGAAAGAGAGCAAAATAATCGAAGACAGAGAGAGAGAAAGAGAGAGAGAGAGAGAGAGAGAGAGAGAGAGAGAGAAAGAAATTAAGCGAATGAAGGGTCTTGTAATCATAGCTTTTTTGCCGCTGGGAAATATAATTATAATGAACAAAGAATATATGTGTGTGTAATGTGTGTATGTGTGTATGTATGTGTGTACGTTTGCGCAGCCGTCGCTCCTTTCTCTCAGCGTTATTTCTTCCTCTTCGTATTCTTCTTCTATTTCTTCTTTTATTAATGCTGTGTTGTCTGCTACTTCTTCGTTTCCTCCTCGAGGTGACATGTAATCCCGGAATCACAAAATTATTCTATAAATCCTAAAAAGGGAAATAAATAAATAAACATTATAATTCTATCATAACAAATATATCTCGAACGTATTATGAAACGAATACCCAACGAATATTTCGATTTATCCTCATCGAGTATGGAAATTTTTCGAATCGCTTTCGCATGAAAAACGCAGAGAGAGAAAAGCATTCGTGCGAGTTTCGGCTCTATCCGGGTGGTTATCGATCACCTCGTTGAGAAAACATTCCTCGACACCACTCTTCTTGAGACTATCCAGCGAAGGTTGATGCAGGGATTGCGCCAAGCCACCCCCGACCCCTGTCGAAACGTCCACCCTTGTATTCTCCATGCTGCCGCCATATAAATAACGTACACAAGCATACCCCAGCGTGCCATGAGAATCGAACGGAAAGAGCGTATAGAAGCTCGAGAGAACGTGTACGGTGCGCGTGTTTCGAGAGCACGATTAAGCTTGATACACGTTTTTTAAATTTAAGCGGGATCGGGACGAATAGGAAGATCGACAGGAAAAAAGGAGTTTCATCGTTCAAATAGTCTCAATGATCGTTCGTGAATTAAACGCCGAACGAATTGTATACGATT